AAATGGTGTATATTTAGCATGTATGACATAATGTTTTGAAGTGTATATACACTGTGGAATGGATGAATCTGGCTAACTAAAAAAATGCATTACCTCACATAACTACCATTTTGTGGTGAGAACACATCCATTCTCTTAACATTTTTCAGGAATACAACATGTACTTCTTGGCATGCACCAGGCCCTTGTCCAATCCCCAGCACCACCAATAAAAAAAAAGAAAGAATACAGTCTATAACTAGTCACCATGCTGTACACAGTCTCTTAAATTTATTCTTCTTCCTAACTGTAATTATGTATCCTATGACCAACATCTCCCCAATCCCGCCTATCCCCTAACCACCCCAGTCCCATTTTGCTTTTATGAAATCAACATTTTTAGACTCCACGTTTAAGTGAAATCATGCACACTTGTCTTTCTGTGCCAGCTTGTATCACTTGACGTAATGTCCTCCAGGTTTATCTCTGTTGTTACAGGTCACAGAATTCCCTTCCTTTTATGGAGGAATAGTATTCGATTGTATGTATGTACTGCATTTTCTTAATCTATTCATCTGTTAATAGACACACTCCATACCTTGGGTATTGTGAATAATACTGTAATAAACAGAAGAGTGCAGATATCTCTTCGACATTCTCATTTTACTTCCTTCAGATGTATACCCAATAGTGAGATGTTTATATAGTAGTTCTATTTTTAGTTTTTGAAGACCCTCCATACTGTTTTTATAATGACTGTCCTGAATTACATTCCCACCAACAGTATATAAAGGTTTTCCTTGTCCACAGCCTCACCAGCACTTATTAACTTTTCCTTTTGATAATAGTATTTCTACCAAGAATAAGGTGATATCTCATTGTGATTTCAATTTTTCTTTCCCAGATGCTTAATAATGTTGAACTTTTTTTAATAAAGCTTTTGGGCATTTGTATGTCTATTTTTATTTTTGGGGGGGGGAATTTCCATTTGGGTCTTTTGCCCATTTTTAATTGGGTTGTTTTCTTGCTATAGAGTTGTTTGAGTTCCTTATATATTTTGGATATTAACTCCTTATTGAATGTATAGTTGGTAAATATTTTTCCAGTTCCATAGATGGTCTCTTCACTCTGGTGATTGTTTCCTTTGCTGTGCAGAAGCTTCTTGTTTTGATGTAATTGTATTTGTCTATTTTTGCTTTTATTACCTCATATCCAGAAATATGAGGCAACATATTTGAAGACATGTCTGAAGAATTATAGCCCAATGTCATGAAAACTTTTCCCCATGCTTTCTTCTACTAATTTCATAGTTTTTGGTCTTACATTTGATTTTTGTATTTGTCCATTTCAGCTTGATTTTTGTATTTGGTTTGCGATAAGGTGTACTTTCATCCTACATGTGGATGTTCAGTTTTCCCAACACCATTTATTGAAGAGGTCATTTTCCCCCGCTGTTGTTTTTAACACTTTTGTCAAAAGTCATCTATTTCTATAAATGCATGGATTTATTTATGGGCCCTCTATTCTGTCCCACTGGTCTGTATTTCTATTTATGCAAGTACATGCTATTTTGATTACTACAGCTTTATATAGTATATTTGAAGTCAGATAGTATAATGCGTCCTACTGTGTTCTTTTTGCTGTAGATTTCTTTGGCTATTTCAGTATCTTTTGTGATTTCATACAGTTTTGGTTTTTTGTTGTTGTTGTTGTTGTTGTTGTTGTTGTTTACAGACAGGGTCTTTCTGTGTCACCAGGCTGACCTCAACCTTCTGGGTTCAAGTTATTCTCCTGCTCAGCCTCCCAAGTAGCTGAGGCTATAGGCACACAGAACCATGCCTGCTTCTCCATACATATTCCAATATTTTTTTCTAGTTCTCTAAATAATGTCATTGATATTTGAATATGGAATGCATTGAATCTGCAGATCACTTTGGATAGAATGGACATTATAACAATATTAATTTTTCTATTCCATGAATTCAGGATATCCTTTGATTTATTTTGTCCACAATTTCTTTCATTATTTTTTTATAGTTTTCATTGTAGAGATTTTTATCCTTGGTTAAATTTATTCATAAGTATTTTTGCAATTATTGTGAATAAGATTATTTTTTTTACTTCTTTTTCAGATAATTCACTATTTGTGTATAGAAACACTGCTTATTTTTATATACTGATTTTGTATTCCACAACATAACTAAACTTGTTCATCTGTTTAATTTTTTGTTTTCCAAATATAAGATGTCATCTATGAATAGGAACAATTTCACTTCTACCCTTCTTGCCTTTTATTTATTTATTTTACCTAATTGTTCTGGCAATGACGGGCAGCATCCTTGTATTCTTCCAAACCAATTTATTCATGACTCTTTAATGATCATGTGATGATCATTTTAAATTCAGTGACCTGAGGAGTGTCATCAATTTGCAATGTAAGGATTTTGCTCAATGGTATCCTCAGTCCAATCCACGCATTCAAGCATTAGCTCTACCCTGTGTGGAAAAGCTTTCTACCAGAGCTTCTTGCAGCCATGTGGCAGGTGGCTTCTTTGTTAGTTTTCTTGAAAAGAGGCCCCAATCCCTCCCCCAATAGGGGATAGTTTTAAGATTTACTGAGCCCAACAACATAAAAATAAATAAAAAGCAGTGATGAGGGCGGGTATGTGAGAAGGACCAGATGAAAAGTATAAATAGCATTAAGATCGATTTCCCACATTTCCCATATAGAGAGCACATTTGCCAGAGCTCAAGATGTGTATTATCACTCAGCAACTGGCAAATGCCTAAGAGTGTAGTGGAAGAGGCTTACTTCTGGGGGAGTCAATTCTGCCTTGATTCTGTTGTTGCTCTCTATAGTGGAGCTGTTGCAGTGAAAGAAATTGGCTGTGCAGCATTCTTATCTCCTTCTTTAGTAACCTATATATACACACTTGCTTGAGGTATTACATATACCCTTTTAAAGTTTCTGAGAGAAATACATATAAAACAGATACAGTAGGTACTACATTTGCTGAATCTATTACCATATCAGTTTAATAGGACTCAAAAATGTAGGTCAGATGAGCTGCACTTTACTACTGGTACTATGGGACAAGACAAAGAAGGACTCTCACCTGCCTTTGATTGGTTGACTGGTTTGGTTAATTGGTATACATGATGCTTTGCTCCAAAACTAACTTGGGACAACACCCACCCACCAGACTGTGTTGTCACCTTCTGTAGTTATGTTAGGTGCACAGTTAGACTTATGGCATATTCAGTAACATGCAAGCTTTTACCATACACGTATCATGTTAGAGACTCTGGTTAGGTTAGATGCAGTGTTAGAGAAATGAAGGAGCTTACCATCATATGATAAAAACAGATATAAGTACCAGTAAAGGGAAACAGCACTGATTACCCATGTAGAACTATAGTGTGGGTCTACAGACATGGATTTTTGTTTGCTTGTTTTTAACCAAATATCTTGGGACTTATTATCTGACAGAGAATTTTTTTAAGTTTGGAATTTTATTTAAGTACTTCCAAAATATTAAGATTTAAAATCCCATTCAGTTATGGATCTAAAAAATTTCCCTTACTGGAAGGAATGCAGTGATATAGGATTGATGCTCCCTGGAGAATCCTGCACACGTCCTCACTCCGACCACAGGAGGTGGGAAGACGGTGCCATTCATTCTCTCTAAAAGAACTGAAGAGGGCTCCCAGAGGAGACAATGTCCAAGTTGAATTTTGAAAAATGGATACAGGTCCTTGCAACAGTTTGTTTCTGTATGCTACAGTGAGTTTAATTCATACAGAAGTCAGATCCAAAGCTTACCAGTCTGTCTTTCTCTGCATTCATTCCCCCAGCTGAAATTTTTGATCACTGCTGCTAAACCTTCCAGCAAGAGCCCAAGATTGCTGTTTTCATTTTATTTGTACACATGATTTGTAGACCTGCCTCTCCTACTTAGGGGATCAGCAGTGCTTGCAGGAACCTAGAGGATGTGTAGTATCACAGACAAGGGTAAGATCACCCACCCTGAACACCAGAAACTTTAATTCATTCCATCTGAAAGAACAGTGAACGTTAGGCAACATATTTTTAATTGTATAAGTCACTGTGTGTGCAGATGTGAGTATACCAGCTGTACATAAGTACCACATTTTCAATCTGTGTAAAATATAATGGATAAGCAGCAAATGACAGTAGGCTTAGCCCCTGATGATTTACAAGGCAAGAAGGCAGCTGCCTGGTGAAGCTGCTGCTAATAATTAGGGAAGGCATAGCCTGTGTCCTGTGCCACTCAGCAGCTCCAACCATTGAAATGACAGCCAGTTTGCTTAGCTCTCTAACCCCCATTCTTTGTGGGCCAGGAGTTAATTTCTTGTTGAGAACATTGCTTTTGATTGTCATCATCTCCGCTATCATTATAACATCAGGTGTGACATGATGATTGAAAATCCCAAGTAGAAACCATGATGGATGAGCAAGATAGGAGTTGTTTTTAATGTTTCTTTTAACATTGTTAGTGAGGGAAAAACTATTTTTGAAACCCCATGGACTGAGTTTTTAACAGGGCCCTGTTGCCAGTTCTGTGGTTGACAAGAAAATGATAATGCTTTCTTTGGCTCGAGTGAGCTGCAAGAAGTGTCACAGCACTCCCTCCTTGTGGAGAACAGCTCTCAACAGGACTGATTGGGAGGGAAATTAATAGGCTTCCCATTGTTCCATGCATTTTTGCCAGGATATTTCATTAGTGTAAACACTGAACCCGTTGTCATCTTGTTCAGCCACTTGACCCTGGTGATTTTCAATTCTGCTTGTGCCGTGATGAAGTACAGCAGTGGCATGCACGAGACAGGCACTAATTATTGGAAGCAGAATCATTGCTGACCCAGTACGAGATTAACTGCTCCTTTGCAGTCTTTATTGTGGGATATTAGCAGTGTCTGGTTATCTTGCTTCAGTTGAGGGATTCAGGACAATAACAGTGCTGATGGTAATGTTGGCAATTTCCCTGTTTGTTTTGCAGGTCACTGCCAGGGGCTTTGGGCCGCTGTTACAGTTTGCCTACACTGCCAAGCTGTTACTCAGCAGAGAAAACATCCGCGAGGTCATCCGCTGTGCTGAGTTCCTGCGCATGCACAACCTGGAGGACTCCTGCTTCAGCTTCCTGCAGACCCAGCTCCTGAACAGCGAGGATGGCCTGTTTGTGTGCCGAAAGGACACCGCGTGCCAGCGCCCACACGAGGACCATGAGAACTCCGCGGGAGAGGAGGAGGAAGAGGAGGAGGAGACTATGGATTCAGAGACAGCCAAGATGGCTTGCCCCAGGGACCAGATGCTTCCAGGCCCCATCAACTTTGAGGCCACTGCCATCCCAGTAGCAGAGAAAGAAGAGGCCTTGCTACCTGAATCCGACGTGCCCACGGACACCAAGGGGAGCTCAGAAAAGGATGCACTGACCCAGTACCCTAGATACAAGAAATACCAGCTTGCATGTACCAAGAATGTCTATAATGCATCATCACACAGTACCTCAGGTTTCGCAAGCACATTCAGTGAAGAAAACCCTGGCAACAGCCTCAAGCCAGGGCTTGCCATGGGGCCGATCAAAAGTGAGCCACCCAGCGAAGAGAACGAGGAAGAGAGCATCACGCTCTGCCTGTCCGGAGATGAGTCTGACATCAAGGACAGAGTGGGGGATGTCGAGATGGACCGCAAACAGCCCAGCCCTGCCCCCGCCCCCGCCCCCACCACCCCCACTGGAGCCACCTGCCTGGAGAGATCCAGGAGCGTGTCCTCGCCTTCCTGTTTAAGGTCTCTATTCAGTATAACAAAAGGTGTGGAGTTGTCTGGCCTACCCAGTACATCTCAGCAGCACTTTGCCAGGGGTTCAGCGTGCCCTTTTGACAAGGGGATCACTCAGGGTGACCTTAAAACTGACTACACCCCTTTCACAGGGAATTATGGACAGCCCCAAGTGGGCCAGAAGGATGTGTCCAACTTCACGCTGGGGTCCCCCCTCAGGGGGCCTGGGTTGGAGGCTCTCTGTAAACAGGAGGGAGAGCTGGACCGGAGGAGTGTGATCTTCTCCTCGAGCGCTTGTGACCAAGTGAGCACTTCGGTGCATTCGTATTCTGGGGTGAGCAATTTAGACAAAGACCTCTCCGAGCCGGTGCCAAAGGGTCTGTGGGTGGGAGCTGGCCAGTCCCTCCCTAGCTCACAGGCCTACTCTCACAGCGGGCTGATGGCTGACCACTTGCCAGGAAGGATGCGGCCCAACACCAGCTGCCCGGTGCCAATCAAAGTCTGCCCTCGCTCACCCCCGCTGGAGACCAGGACCAGGACTTCCAGCTCCTGCTCCTCCTATTCCTACGCAGAGGATGGGAGTGGGGGCTCACCCTGCAGCCTCCCTCTCTGCGAGTTCTCCTCCTCACCATGTTCCCAGGGAGCCAGATTCCTTGCCACGGAACATCAGGAGCAGGGCCTGATGGGAGATGGAATGTACAACCAAGTCCGACCCCAAATTAAATGTGAGCAGTCTTACGGAACCAACTCCAGCGATGAATCTGGATCGTTCTCAGAAGCAGACAGTGAGTCGTGTCCTGTGCAGGACAGGGGCCAGGAGGTAGGGAACCCACATAAATTCAAGCATGTGACCTACTTTCTCCGTCCTTTGGACTTTTCCCTGCCCTCACCACCACTCCCTGATTGTTCTTATTTGCCAAGGCTAACGGTGATAGTAAAGGGACTTCCCCCAATCCATGGAGGCAGGATACCCTAAGGTGACTCCAAATTAACCACTTTTGCTTTAAAAGGAACTAAATATTTGCTCTCTATTTCAGTACTCAATGAGCAGAAGTAGCTGCTTAGTGAAAAGAGTAAGTCTAATGCATGAAAGTGCATTCAGGTACTTTGGATCCTCCCCACCCCTGCTCCTCCCTTTCTCCTCTCTCCTCCAACTGCTTTGAAAGGATACTGTATGTATCACCCTCATTCTTGCTCTTCACTCCCTTCAATATGAAGGGAAATGTAGACTCTCTTTCAGAATTGATTGATTGAAACTAGATAGATCAACACAAAACAAGTGTTCTCCCAGTACCTTGTACGTTTTCCTTGTCAACAGAAGACCCCCAGGGTCATCCTGTGTCCATCACAATGTAGGTGATGGAATGCTGGCCATCCATTCTGGTCCCAGGGTCACTGCACAAGTGCCTTAGTCAGCACAAATGGCTCATTTCTGGAGTTCCCACAAAATGAGAAGTCATTTTATGGAGTAGTGGTTGTATGTACCCTGAAAGCAAAGTGCTTTGTAGATAAAAATATCCAAAGTCTCAGTCCATATCTCACCACTTGTGGTAGAAGAAACAGGGGTAACACCAGCTATATCATGAGCATGACTAAGGAGAGAGAAGAATAGGAGCCTCCATAGGTTCCCACAGTGTCCTCTAGATAAATCAAGAGTCTGTGTCATAACCTGGCACTCTCTGCACTGTCTTGCTGCTGACAAGGAACCAGCCTGAGACACACCTATGCCTCAGACCTGCTTCAGGAACAGGAGTGAGCAAACCTAGCCAGTGACAAGTCCTACACTCCTGTGTCCAGAAAGCACAGAAGAAAGGAAGTGTGGTCCTTGTGAGGCCAGCATACTGGACTCATCTGCACTTCCTGGGTGTTAGCCTCTGTGGGGCAGCAGATGTTAACCTAACCAGACAGCAGAAATGCCACATGGGGTGAGGTGACTTTTTACAGAGCCACGTGCAGTTTATTCAGCCTCCACAAGATTGGCAGGCAAGAAGCACTTGAGGTTTTAGTTCAGGCATGTTTTGAAAATAGATTCCAGAGCTCCCTGTGCCAACTGTAGAAATGCCCTGTGGTCACTTCCTCTGCTTTGCTAACTAGCCTGTTCCCTGCTACTACTGTTACTACCTGGCACAAATGGAGAAAGACAGAACAACAGAGGACTGAATTTAACTAAGAAAATTATAAAGGAAATATGAATAGGAACTATTTCCGTTCAGATGTACCTTATCCCCTTGGGTTGGGGATGCACCCAGTATCCCAGTCAGATGCACAGATATGTCCTGGCCTCCGGAGGAGTGAGGTTTTGTGAAAACAGGGAAATGTTTGCATTCTCTGTCCTCATTCATTCTTTCCTCCTGACCACAACTTCTGTGGGGTTTGCTTTTTGTCCCCGGAACTGTCAGGCAGTGTACCTGATGCAAAAAGCTCATCACTGGGCTAGGTTCATCCGCATGACTACTTATCTTGCCCTGTACTCTGTGAAAAGAAGACTAATGCCTGTCCTTTTAGAGAAACCCCACCATTCAGCTGTCAAGAGGTTGTGTTTTTATGACGTGTGCATACGTTTCAGGAACTGTCAGTCTCGGATACAGCTCCTTGTGCCCCTGTAATAGTCCAAAAGAGAGCTGATGTCACTTTTTGGAACTCAGCACCATCAGCAAGAAAGCATGTGTCTTTTCCACGTTCAGGCCGCGTCAACATCCACCTTAGAGCTGAAAATACTTACTCAGTTAGAAAGAAGAATTTTTCTTTCAACCTATAGAAAGTCAAGAATAGGACTACCCTCCCCTAAATAAATACCCCTGCTTGTAATTTTTGTTTTTACATAAATCTGTTGTTGGCTGTGTTAGTCAGTTTTTTGTCACTATGACCAAAATACCTAACAAGAATGACTTGAAGAAAAAGTTCACATTCAAGGCTTATGGTTTCAGAGATCAGTCTATGATTGGTCAACTCAATTATTCTGGGCCCACGGTGAGGCAGAACTTCATGGTGGAAGGGCATGGCAGAGGAAAGCTCATGTTAGGTAGGAAGTGGAGGAATAAGCAGAAGGAGCCAGGGACAAGATACATAATCCCCAAGGGTATGCCCCCAGTGACCAACTTCCACCAACCAAACCCTACCTGCGTGCATTTACCACCCATTACAGTATTCCTTTTAAATCATTTCTGCAGCAAATGGATCAATCCACTGATTAGGCTACAGTCTCCCATAATCTAATCATTTCAGTTCTGAACATACCTGCATTGTCCAAGATGACCTTGTGGTGGGTTGGGGGGGCAGGAGGAGACACATTATATCCAAACCATAACATTTTGCATTCCCTAAGTTACAAGAAAAGAGACATTTGCCAGAGCTCTCTGCCATCTCAGGAGTCACACTCAGCCATTCTTGGTAATTTACTTTGTTCAGAGGAGAAATAGTCAAGCTAAACTTTTTCCCAGTTTGACATTTCAGTGTTCCTAGAGTAGAGGAGGTCAGGTTTTCCAAGAACTGACTGTGTCCCAGGGACTTGGCATGACTGCTCCTCTGGGAAGTAATAACATTTTTATAAGGAGTTATTTTGACCTGGTGGAAGTGTTGTTCTCAGGAATATGCTAAAGGCAGTTCCTTCCCCACATGAGTTATAACTTGTTTTTTTTTTTTTTAACTGATCCAGAAGCCAGCATCTGTTAGACTTATTCTGCTTTGACTTGCTGTCATATGGGATCCAGGTGCTTTCTCTTCAGGTAAACCCCAAGGAGACACCAGAGTCAGAAACCAATGTAGGGTTCCTACATGCAACCCACCACCAGTCTAATACTAAAGGTGTTCTTGCCCAATCTCTTTTTCTCCACTTTTGTAAGGAACCAAATGTTAGCTCAAAAGAAAAGGGTCGATATAGCTTATCTTCCATAAGATGTTCTAATTACACCATGTTAAGTAGCTCTCCCATCTCATAAATTTTTAATGTTTTAATTTTAATAAAAATTTTTAATTTTTGAATTTATCATCCTTTTAACTCTTTCCTAGCTTTGAAAAAAAACTTAAATTAGCACAATAAAGTTCTTTATCAATTAAATAATTTAAATAAGTTTTGGGGGGTGCTGTTGATGAAACTCAGAGACTCACACAAGCTAAACATGTGCTCTACCTTAAGCTACACCCACAACTTTCTTTTTTTAAGTACTAAAATACAGAATACCCAGCCCCAAATATACCAAATTTAACAGGATTCCTCTGTGCCTATAATGATATTTATTCACATATTTTAATAGCATTATGCTGTATAATTCTCAGCAACTTCCTTTTCCACATAGCTATCCACTGTGTACATGCCTCTAGTCGATCACTAGTGCCAACATGTGCTTCTCTAATATCCATAGCTCCCATAAGTCATAATTTATTCAGCTATCACCTAGCAACAGATATTTCAATTGCTTCCACTTTCTTCCCCCTTATAAAGATTGCTCCAATAAACATTTTTGTGAACATATTGTTAGTAGTGGTTCTTTTATTTATGTGGGTTGTAGTCTCATAAGTGAGGTAAAGGCTTTACCCTTTTATTTAGACCATCTAATTACCTTGCCAACAAGTTAACAGGTTATAGCGATTCAAATACCTTTCAGCAAGTAAGGAGTCTCTATTTCCTCCATTCTTCCCAGTGCTAGTTATCACCAGTCTTTTTAACTTTTGCTTATTTGATGGGTATAAAATGGTGACTGCCAGTGAGGTTAACCTCTTGTTTGGTGTATATTCACCATTTGTATTTTCTTACCTATGAATTACCATCTTACATCTTTGCCCATTTTTCTTTTGTGGTGTTTAACTTTAAATCAATTTATAAGACCTTAATCCTGAATATTAGGATTATTATTCCTTTCTCATGGATGTTGCCTTTATTTTCTCCTAGTCTATTTATTATTTATAGTATTTTTCCATATAGAAAATCTTAAATTTTATCCAGTCAAGGTATCAGGTTTTTTTCTTTTCTTCATGACTTCTGGTTTTGCTATATTCCTTAAGAAGTCAGTTTGTAAATTTTTCTCTTCCAAGGATGAAACAAGTGAACAAGTCATATTATGTAAAAAGTCACAAACCAGTATGCATAACAAGGTCCTAGTTCCTTTCATAAAACACATATAAGAATACAGAATAATGGGCTGGGGTTTGGCTCAGTAGCAGAGCACTTGCCTCGCATGTGTGAGGCACTAGGTTTGATTCTCAGCACTGCATATAAACAAATAAATAAATAAAGGTCCATCAATAACTAATAAAACATTTTTTTAAAAAAAAGAACACAGAATAAGATATAGAAGCAGTACACAGAATAAGATAAGTTGGAAGCAAGGTTTGGGAAAGGGAGTATAGGGAAATTTTCATTTTTGTATAGGTCTTTAATGTTTGCATTTTATGTATGTATGTATATCTGAACACACACACATTTATTTTTTCATGGAGTCATGTTATCTATACCATAAAATTCACTGTGTTAATCAACTTTTTATTGCTGTGACAAAATACCTGAGAAAATCAACTTTAAAAAAATAGGTTTTTGGCTCATGGTTTCAGAGGTTTCAGTCCATAGGTGCTTGGTCCCATCACTTTGGACCTGTGGTAAGGCAGAACATCATGTTGAGAGGGTATAGTGAAGCAGAGCAACTCACCTAATGGTGACTAAGAAGCAAAGAGAGAGAGAAGAAAGGACCAGGCACAAGATATATCCCTCCAGGATATACCCCCAAGACTTCCTTTAACTAGGCTTCACCACTACAGTTTATACCAACTCCCAATAATCCTTTCAATTATGAACTAATCAACAGATTAATCTATTAATGAGATCAG